AAGGAAGGAAGGAAGGGAGGGACAGAGGGAGGGGGAGAGAAAGGGAGTGAGGGAGGGAGGGAAGGAGTGAGAAAGAAAAAAGAAAAGAAAAGAAAGAGGAGTTGGCTCCCCCCAGGATAAGGTCATCCCATTGATTCCCTCCCTGTCCCCACCCCCACCCCACAACCACTGTTCTACTTTTCTGTCACTGTTCATTAGTTTGTATTTTCTGCAGTTCTATGTAAATGGAACCCTGCTGTGTGCACTCTTTCTTGTCTGGCCCCTTTTACTCTGCATAATGATTTTGAAGTGCATCCAGGTTGTTGTAGCAGTCCTTTGTTTTCATGGCTGAGTATCATTCCATTGTGTGCACGGACCACGGTATTTGTGTTGTTTCCGGGTATTGGCCATGACTAATAAAGCTACTATGAACGAACATTTGTGTACCATTGTCTGTGTGGACATATGTTATCACTTCTCTTGGGTATACATGTGCCTGGAAGGGGAGTTGCTGGGTCAGGTATTGATTTTGATCTTATTGCTTCGATTATCCTTGGTTGCCCTGCCGTCCTGGTTCCCCAAAGACATGCTGCACATCTAACTGCATACTGGGATGTGAGGGCAACTGAGGCCTATGTCTTGCCTCCATTCACAATCAGGAGCATGTATTTGTTGCTATGATGCCCTTGTTCATTGTTCTGAAAACGTATCACTGTTCCAAAAATTTTTAAAAACTTTTGTCTTGCCCTGGCAGGGTAGCTCAGTTGATCAGAGCATTGGCCCAATATGTCAAGGTTGCGGGTCCAATCCCCAGTCAGGGCACATACAAGAATCAAGCAATGAATGCATTAATATGTGGAACAAAAATCTAAATATCTCTCAAGTCAATAAAAATATTTTTTAATATTTTTTCCGGCAAAGATTTCTAACAGAAAAATAAAATCAGACTGAAATAAGGAAGCAGCGATTAAAATGATTGTATTTTTTCCAGAATATTCCTCACATAATATATAATGTACTTTCCTTCCATATTCTGGCTAGTTAGTGGGAACGAGGTAAAAGGAGGTAGACAGAGAGCAAGCCGGGTAGGCAGAGAAGGGGTGAAGAGAGAAGGACAAAGGAGGAAAAAGGAAAGCGAGGTTAAGGAGAAGGATAGCTGTGCAGTGCTTGCACACTTGGGTGGAAGACACATCGGTTATGTCCTCAGGTTGTGGACATAGAATGGAGGAATCAATAAACAGAGTGTTAGTTAGGAAAGTGGCCACAAGTAATAGAAAACCTGACTATGGTGGATTAAATAATGTTTAATTTTCTCACATAAGAAAGCTGGAGGTAGCTTGCTGGCACTGGTTAGAGAGACCACTGGCATCTCTCTAACTAGCTGTTTTGCCTCTTGATCACAAAATGGTTGCCAAAGCTCCAGTCATCACATATGCATCCAAGGACAGAAACAAGGGGCAAGGACAAGTGTATCTGTCCCCGTTTATCAAGAAAGCAACAGAATCCCAGAAGCTTGCCCAGCAGACTTTCACTTAAGTCTCAGCCAGAACTGGGTCAGATGGCCACCTTTACCTGTAAGAAAGGCTAAGAACACAGAGGACAAGATTGTCATAACCTGTCACTGAAGCTAAGTCCACTGAAGCACTGAACAAAATTGGAGTCTTATCCCCAGAGAAGAAGGTTGGAATGGGTATTGCGTGGTATTATGGATTG